AATATACTGGGTACGAGTTCGATATGAAGATTCATAGACTCGAATCGTCACAACTGGGTTTTAAGGTTAATATGCGGGCGCACAAATGCATCGCCCCTTGCCAGGTAATTGATTTTCTTGGCGTCACATTGGATTCGGTCGCCATGCAGGCTCGTTTGAGTCCTGAGAAGCTTGCGGTAATTTCCGCACTGATTACAACCACTCTCGGCCGTACTAGTATAACTCGTAAGGAGTTGGATAAATTAAACGGCAAACTAAAATGGGTTTGCAAGGTCGTATATGGCGGCCGCACATTTTTGCGCCGCTTAATCGATGCTCAATGGAGCGTGAAACGGCCGCAGCATCATATCCGCATCTCGGCGGCAATGCGCCTCGATCTCGAATGGTGGCACCAATTTTTGCCACAATTTAACGGCCAAACTGAGCTGATTCCTAGTACACCTCTCTCATTGGATGATTTTTCCACTGACGCCTCTTCGAGCTATGGCTATGGGGCGTTTCTCTTGGGCGGTTATTTCTCGCTGTCATTTGCTCAAGCTGCATCACAATTTCTTGATGCCCCTGATCGCACAGAACCTATCCACGTCCATGAATTATTTGCAGTACTTATTTTGTGCCGATTATTTTCGGCTGCCTTGAGCGGACAACATGTTCGTTTGCATATTGACAATACGATAGTCGTCGCAGTAATCAATAAGGGTACGGCAAAGGGCGAAACTGGCCCACGCATGATGGAATATGTCCGCCACATCTTCTGGCTTTCTGCTCGTTACAATTTCCGGTTGACCAGCAAATATATCGCCTCCAAAGACAATTCTTCAGCTGACGCGCTCTCACGGGGTGACTCTTCTCGTTTTTCGGCTCTCCTCGCAGATTGGAAAAATGGGCGTCATTTGGCACTAAAATCCCGAGCTTCATTTTACAGATCCGCCCCTCCCGGTGCTTATGGACAAGATGGCCGCGTACATAACCCAGTGGCTGGCCACATCGTCTCAGCGCAACTATGGCGCCCATGTCAGGCCCGTATTATATCACCTTCTGCTCTACTTATGATCTGCGGCCTATGCAGCCGGACGAAGTGACTGTTTGCTTATATGTTACGAAGCTTGCAGAGACCTGCTCTTATCGCACGATTAAAACCTATCTCAATGGGATTCGCGTTTTACACCTTGAAGCTGGGTTAATGAACCCGCTGCCCGCCATGTTCAATCTGGAACGCACCTTGCGGGGTATAAAACGGGTTAAGGGAGATGCCCAACCAAACCGCAAATTAGCGGTCACTCCGGACATTTTGTCTCGCATCATTCGTCGACTTGATTTGTATTCCCCGTCGGCTATGGCCTTCGTCGCCGCTATGTTGGTGGCATTTTTTGGTTTTTTTCGGAAGGCTAACGTGTGCCCGGCCCAGGAGGGCTCCAACCCGGTCACAGATCAGTCCCCAGTGAGGAGGGGTGATTTTGAATTTGCCCCGGATATGTCCCTGGTTTGGATAAACCTTCGCCGGACAAAAACCATCCAATTTGGTCAAAGGACCCTCCGAGTTCCTCTGCCGGCTATTCCCGGTTCTATTCTGTGCCCGGTTAATGCTCTAAGCCGCTTATTTTCGGCCGTGGCAAGTGGCCCTGAGGACTTTGCCTTTTCTTTTCCCGACCAATCTGGTCGCCTGACTACTTTAACCCACAAATCTTTCGTGGCCCAATTTAAATCTGAATTGTCTCATATTGGTTTCGATTCTGCCCGGTATGCCGGGCACTCCTTCCGCCGAGGCGGCGCTTCCTTTGCCTTCCAGTGTGGCGCCTCCCCGGCGCAGATCAAAGAACAGGGGGATTGGAAATCCTCCGCTTATCTCCTCTACCTCGAGTTCGACGACCCTGCGCGGGCGCGGGTCGCCGCGCTTATGGCCTCTTCTATTCTGCTGTCGACTTGGCGGTCCCCCGATCACCCTTTCCCCCAGCGTCATCCCCCGGCCTGAAGACCAAGGCTCAAGTACCATTCTCGAAGACCCAGATTAGAGACCGGTAGATAACGCTAGCTGTAAGACCGCTCGGGTCCTTGGAGGGTAGGCTAGTCCTTTGTGAACTTTCCGGGGGGCGCGGTGACCTTGTACCATCACCCCCCGTCACTGAATAATTCAAAGGCGGACTCTGCCTATTACCCCCAAGTCGTTCGCAAATATTCATA